CAGTAAATGCAAATAGTTTTCCCATGACATTCAAAGCCGATATACTTCTGTAATTGTTTGGTTGATTGACATTTCCTGATTTGTATAAAGACATTATCATTCTAATATGCCATGCGTCGGGAAATATATCTGTATCAAGATTTTTATTGAATAATAGCAACAAATATGTTATTAGTAAAAATCCTGATATTTTGTAAAATTCTGGTGAGACTCCATCAACGTCTGACGCTGAACCATTTTAAGGCTTTTCAATGCTTCTCTCACTTCTTGTTCTGTGATCTCACCAGATAACAATTCTTCCGTGCATGGAAGTTCAGTACATTCATCACACATAGGAGTATCCTAAAAATCAGATATTGATAGATCAAATTCTGTTTTTGCCGTCAAGCACATCGGATTCAATAAATTCTGAAAATAGGGAAGCCATACATTAGGAGTTATAGAACTGTCTGGTGATTTTTTACGTAACGACTCCTTAAGTATTTTCCCAAACGTGTCACAATCTCAATAATGCGCTGCTAACTTTATTTTTTTAAACATTTATGTCATACCTTTTTTTCTTACGTTCTCAAATCTGTTTAAATTCTCATTTTGACAAAATATATTTGTGCAAGTTGAAATCACACGTATGATTTCTGATGTTGATGAGACATAAATACTTTCTAGATTTCATATTCTGACACTAGCTGTCAAAGGAGGCTGGCTGAGACACACGACATTTACTGAACCAAGAACAAATAGCGCTACCACTTGTAGCACAACATATCACAATGTCAGTGAGCTTAGTAACTGCTGCGTTAAGGTTATCCTCCAAAATGACTGCAAACGCCTTAAACATTTCTCCACTTAATGTATTATAGAGATGGAGGTCGTAGGAAAAAACTTGCTCAGGAGGAAGTCTAATGAGGCAGATGCAGCGTCCACATTATTATTTTGTTGAAAAGAACAAGGAGTAAGGCCTTTGAAGTGACAGACAATAGGCAAGTGATCTGAGTCGGTTCGTTCAACCACTGTCATATATGTAATAGTTTCAAATAAACTCGATGAAACAATATAATTAACAATCGTTCTCTAATTTGGTCATCCCGATCCATACAGAGTATGTCGTGAGCAAAGCCATGTGAGACTGAGCATGAGAGACTGTCTGCCTGTAGCTTTGAATAATCATTTCAAATCTGCTATTTCAAGAGGCCATAGCATGCTAGTCATTGTGTTTAGACAAGGTTATTGACTCCACATGTCCCGCTGTGATATCACTGAAAGAGTCGATGACTGTGATGTGAAATGCCCATTAAGTATCTTTATTGCAATAACCTAAATTGACGAGCAAAAGAAAACGTTACCGACCAACATTGTTAGTTCCTGAAAACAGAAGAGAACCAATGTTCAACGTCATTTCAAGTTATGCTTTGAATGAGGACAAAGATCGAGGTATCATGTCCACAGTTTGGAGGATGAGGTCAGAAAATTGAGCAACATCAAATCAGCACATGAAACCCCGTTTAATCCATCAGAATGTCACACTTGTCAGCCAACATCATGTATGCCCCATCACGGGCGTCAATGCACACCCCAATTCGACGATGGGCAGAAGATTTGAGAAGCTTGATCACAAGAAATGGTATTCGACGTCATTCGTCATGGCGGGCCTGTGCTAACTGATCCGTGCAAGATGGTCGTGGTCTAGTTTGACGATCAAGGTGATCCCACGGGTGTTCTTCAGGTGATAAGTCTGGCGTTTCTGCTGGCCAAAGCAAGACATTGTTTGGAGAGTTGTGTTATCGTGATGAAACAAGGTCCGGATTCTTTTACAAGAACGGCAGTACAACAGGGTAGATAGATTGGATGTAACGCTGTCCAGTGACGATTCCTTTCAAAATCAGCCGATCTGTCTTGACTTGGCTTCAGATGTCTACATGAATGGGCTACAGATGCATCCCAAACCATAATGCCGCCACTTCCTAACAGTTCGAAATTTTGAACGCAACAACGTGACATTCGTCCACCTCGTCGGCGGTTGACACAAACTCTTCCTCTCCTATGAAAAACTGGAATCTGCTCTCTTTCGTGAACATGATTCTTTGCCAGTTCCTGTTCTTCCAGGGTCGCAGTGTTCCAGCCCGTCGATGTTGGTGTTCCGGTGTCAGCGTTACGTCTCGTAGTGCTCCGTAAGCTCTGATGTTGTACCGACGCAGTCTTCTGGACACTGTCCAGCGACTGACAGGATGACCCGCAGCCGATGACGTCACCGTGATAACATGATTCCTCAGATGGAGGATACGTACTTAGCGTTTGCCTGGGTGGTGGTGACAGGAGGTCTGCCAGTCCTAGGTCTGTCTTTTTTCCGCCCAGTCTACCTGAATCAGACCATGCGTCTGGTAACCATGCGTCTGTCATTCGGGAACAGGCAAAACTCCTTACTTCACACTGGGTTTTGCTTCAAATGGTGTTTTGAAAAAACATTATATTATATTATATTATAATTATAAAAATGCGACATCTGTACAGTTTTTTATGTTTTAGTGAACACTGAGAAAATGTGAACATTCTTTCCAAAGGTTGAATTTAAAACTTGACATAAGAAAATCTCAGCTTTATATCATGAATGAAAATATCTCAGCCACTAAAAATGATGAAAAAAGACTCTCCCCACCCCCACATCCATTAATGTCAAATTGTCTGCCCCTTGGAGAAATAACCAATCAGGAATTACAGCTTTCATTCACAAGAGACAGATACTCCGTAATCCCTAGTTTCCAGTAGCTTATTCTACGTATTACTCGTTGACATTTTAAAAGAGAAACTGCAGAAAAAAACCGTGTGAAATGTCAACCCTACAGAGAAACTTCACTTAAGGCAGCTCGAAGCACTGTGACGTCATGTGGCTACCCATGTGCATATATGGGATAGTTATTACACAAGATTAATCTTCCCTTATGGAAATATTGAACAGTATGCATGTACCAGAGGGCTTAAACATTAAACACTGTATCAGAGGACAGTTGTCAAATGTTGTCAATGAACATGGTTTTACAGAACAATAAACATAATATCAGAGGACATTAAACTTTTACAAAATTGAGCGAAAAAGTTTCAGGGGACAGAGGACAGAACATGCTGAACACGATATCATACACTAACTTAGACTTAGTCTCTGAAAATATATTATTTTGATGGAAACAAACAACTCCATTTAAAATGAAAAGGAGACCCAGTGAGATGGACAACTTGTGAAAATCTAGACTTGCTTCATTTATATCTTTTACATACAGTAAGGACTGGTCGGAAGGGGGAAGTACTATGGTTCAGGGATTGTGAGACAGACTAACGATATCACGATGACACTTCTTATCAGAAGACACTGGACATGGTATTAGTAAACCATGTACATTAAAAGTTGCTTTAGAGAATATTTATGTTCGTTGCAGATAGCACTGCACATTGAACATATGGATTATATATTACCCCTGCTCACACTGTATCAGGGGACATCGTGAAACGTTATTGTATATGAAGCTTAAGTTGTTGATGTGATGAAACTGGTGGTTAATTTCCAGCTCATTGATGTTCAATCCGCTGATGTCTCAATTCCAAAATGCCAAAGTGGGAAGCATCAACCATTAGGGCCTGTTTTACATCCAGATTATCTCCAGTGAGAGAGAAGGGTAGATGCACAATGACGTAATGTATTTCACCAAGTAGATAGGGAGATCCCAACACTGTAGTGAAATACACACAGAGGAGTAACGCTTATTGACTCTCCGCATGAAATGGCCATTACAATACTGGAACATGTTTTAAACAGAGCATCACGCTCGTTTAATGCACTTGAGGAACGATAGTCGTGTTCCGTTTCGTAATATTCATGTCTGGTTCTTAAGAATAAGAACGTAATATTGTTGGCGCTATGATGCGTTTCCTTCATGCCACCAACTTGATGAATAGCAGCTCGTGTCCTTCATCATTGCGTGACTTAAGATAAACGAATATTATTTCCATCATCGGTTGCTGATTTGGTCAATGGTTCGAAATTGTTCAAGTTTCACTTGTAATAACTCCAATAGATCTGTGTATCGACAGATGTGTTTCTACGGCTTTTCACATGTTGTATTATGTGAGGTGGTGGTGGGAGGAATATATAGGTATAGGAATATACAAGTGTATGTGTTGCCTAAGGTAGGTAAGTAGGATACGATGAAATATGATGGAAATTGAGCGAGTTTGATAAGACTCAATACCAATGTGGTCCAAAATCATGTTAGTTGTCGAGTTAGTTTTGTTTATTGTTTAACACCGCACTCAGTAATATTTCAGTTTTTTGACGGCGGTCTGTAAAGAATCGAGTTTGGACCAGACAACCCAGTGGTTGACATCATGAGCATCGATTCACGGAATTAGGAATCAATGACATGCACAAACCAAGTCGGCAAGCCTGACAACCGGATTCCGTTAGTCGCCTCTTACGAGAGGCATTGGTTGCTGACGACCAATTCTACCCCAGATCGTCATGGTGTTGGTCCCGTATTGATTTTTAACAGGCATGTTTCCCCTTATGGCAGAGGGGCACACGGTCCCATGTGTGTATGCAGAGTTGCGTCCCTTGGGCACGCCAGAAACCTATGATTGTGGGTTCGAATCCCGGTTCGCCCCGATTATGTTTCTAGGTTTGTCAGCTCCATACCCGTGCTCGTGGGTTTCACCGAAGTGGTAAACGTCTGAGACCTGCATCACTTCGGGCTTTCCTCACACATCAAGCTGACACGCCGCGATATAACCGGAATACTGTTAAAAGCGGCGTTAAACCCAACTCACTCACTCACTCACTCACTCCCCTTATGGCAAATGGGCATACGGTCCCATGTGTGTATGATAGGCAAATCTGATTCTATGTGACGCTGGGTTTGGGCCCATATGATGTAAGATGGGTAAATATGCTATACATTGTAGAGAATCACATGCAGATCGTTTGTATGATCTATAATGATGTACTGACATTGCAGAGGCTTCATCGCGTCGTGCGGAGCGAGGTGCTGTACTCACAGAAACAAGCAGCCCAGGAGATGATGAAGATAGTCAGAGATAGAGACTTTACCAGACTCATTCAGAAGCAGGAACTACAGAAACGGGTGGGTTGTGAATTTCGTTATATTGGCATCATTGTATTATATTTTAAATAATGTGTAGGTAAGGTTATGTATAATGCATTACGAATTTGAAATGTGATAACATACAATTTCGAGGGGCGGTCGGGTAGCTTTGTGGTTAAAGCGTTCGCTGGTCACGCCGAAGACCCGGGTTCGATTCCCGACATAGGTACAATGTGTGAAGCCCATTTCTGGTGTCCCCCGCCGTGATATTGCTGGAATATTGCTAAAAGCGGCGTAAAACCATACTCACTCACTCACTCACTACAATTTCGAATATTCTTACCTCCATAACAAATACGAAGTATTTGTAGATCGTTACATGAACAGTTTTTCTCGGTTATTCGCCTCATCAGGGCATCTTTTGTAGTTCATCATTGACGTTCAGGGAAAGTTACTTGCAGAGGCATTAAAGGAACTACACGTGTATGACATTAAAACGCCACGAATATGGATATTCATAAGGGTGTGGCTGAATCTTGTGAATCAATTTTGCTATGGGTTATATCTCTCTGCAACGTGGGAGTACTTGATAAGTGATGGATATTTCATCTCACCAATGTCTTCAGATTGACATCACATCAGTATTATAACTACATGGTTAATTCGAGTTGCCATGGTAATGGTAAATTCTCCTCCTAACAGCCTTCACTTCTCTTAAAACGTTTTTTTTATTACTTGGTTTACGGGTCTGCCGGTTCAAAATTTCACCAGGAAAGTGAAATTAAAATTTTAAGAAGAAATCGTATTTCTCCCATCGAGTCTGTTAACGAATTTTAGTACTATAAAAACTCTTCAAAGTAGATCGATATTGGATGGGAAATAACACTTTGACTTGTCGTTCAAAGAAACACTCCGAAACGACGTTTCGTTCATTTCATTTTTTATGTCACCCGACCTGTTTTTGCAATTTTATTTTCAATTTCATTTCGACCATCAACCCAACTTTTTTATAAGAAAACACGTAGGCCAAGTAAAAGAAAAAGGACCTTAATATCCCAGTAGAACACATAAAACACGTGTGCGCTAAATTATGGCCCAGACGTGACGTCCCATTTAGTCTCAAAGATGTCGCCTTTCCTAAAGCGTCCCATATAGCCTCAATTAAGTCCCTCTCACACAGCGTCCCATATAGCCTCAATTAGGTCCCTCTCACACAGCGTCCCATATAGCCTCAATTAGGTCCCTCTCACACAGCGTCCCATATAGCCTCAATTAGGTCCCTCTCACACAACGTCCTATATAGCCTCAATTAGGTCCCTCTCACACAACGTCCCATATAGCCTCAATTAGGCCCCTCTCACACAACGTCCCATATAGCCTCAATTAGGTCCCTCTCACACAACGTCCCATGTAGCCTCAATTAGGTCCCTCTCACACAACGTCCCATATAGCCTCAATGAAGTCGCATCCCACCCAACGTCCCATGTAGCCTCAATTAGGTCCCTCTCACACAACGTCCCATATAGCCTCAATTAGGTCCCTCTCACACATTGTCCCATAGAGCCTCAATTAGGTCCCTCTAACACAACGTCCCATATAGCCACAATTAGTTCCCTCTCACATAACGTCCCATATAGCCTCAATGAAGTCGCATCCCACCCAACGTCCCATGTAGCCTCAATTAGGTCCCTCTCACACAACGTCCCATATAGCCTCAATTAGGTCCCTCTCACACAACGTCCCATGTAGCCTCAATGAAGTCGCATCCCACACAACGTCCCATATAGCCTCAATTAGGTCTCTCTCACACGGCGTCCCATATAGCCTCAATTAGGTCCCTCTCACACAACGTCCTATATAGCCTCAATTAGGTCCCTCTCACACATTGTCCCATGTAGCCTCAATTAGGTCCCTCTCACACAACGTCCCATGTAGCCTCAATTAGGTCCCTCTCACACATTGTCCCATGTAGCCTCAATGAAGTCGCATCCCACCCAACGTCCCATGTAGCCTCAATTAGGTCCCTCTCACACAACGTCCTATATAGCCTCAATTAGGTCCCTCTCACACAGCGTCCCATATAGCCTCAATTAGGTCCCTCTCACACAACGTCCCATATAGCCTCAATTAGGTCCCTCTCACACAACGTCCCATATAGCCTCAACTAGGTCCCTCTCACACAACGTCCCATGTAGCCTCAATTAGGTCCCTCTCACACAACGTCCTATATAGCCTCAATTAGGTCTCTCTCACACAGCGTCCCATATAGCCTCAATTAGGTCCCTCTCACACAACGTCCCATATAGCCTCAATTAAGTCCCTCTCACACAACGTCCCATATAGCCTCAACTAGGTCCCTCTCACACAACGTCCCATATAGCCTCAATTAGTTCCCTCTCACACAACGTCCCATGTAGCCTCAATGAAGTCGCATCCCACCCAACGTCCAATGTAGCCTCAATTAGGTCCCTCTCACACAACGTCCCATGTAGCCTCAATGAAGTCGCATCCCACCCAACGTCCCATATAGCCTCAATTAGGTCCCTCTTACACAACGTCCCATGTAGCCTCAATTAAGTCCCTCTCACACAACGTCCCATGTAGCCTCAATGAAGTCGCATCCCACCCAACGTCCCTTGTAGCCTCAATTAGGTCCCTCTCACACAGCGTCCCATATAGCCTCAATTAGGTCCCTCTCACACAACGTCCCATATAGCCTCAATTAGGTCCCTCTCACACAATGTCCCATATAGCCTCAATTAAGTCCCTCTCACACAACGTCCCATATAGCCTCAATTAGGTCCCTCTCACACAACGTCCCATATAGCCTCAATTAGGTCCCCCTCACACAGCGTCCCATATAGCCTCAATTAGGTCCCTCTCACACAACGTCCAATGTAGCCTCAATTAGGTCCCTCTCACACAACGTCCCATATAGCCTCAATTAGGTCCCTCTCACACAATGTCCCATATAGCCTCAATCAGGTCTCTCTCACACAACGTCCCATATAGCCTCAATTAAGTCCCTCTCACACAACGTCCTATATAGCCTCAATTAAGTCCCTCTCACACAACGTCCCATATAGCCTCAATTAGGTCCCTCTCACACAACGTCCCATATAGCCTCAATCAGGTCTCTCTCACACAACGTCCCATATAGCCTCAATTAAGTCCCTCTCACACAACGTCCCATATAGCCTCAATTAAGTCCCTCTCACACAACGTCCCATATAGCCTCAATTAGGTCCCTCTCACACAACGTCCCATATAGCCTCAATTAGGTCCCTCTCACACAACGTCCCATATAGCCTCAATTAGGTCCCTCTCACACAGCGTCCCATATAGCCTCAATTAAGTCCCTCTCACACAACGTCCCATATAGCCTCAATTAAGTCCCTCTCACACAACGTCCCATGTAGCCTCAATTAGGTCCCTCTCACACAACGTCCCATATAGCCTCAATTAAGTCCCTCTCACACAGCGTCCCATATAGCCTCAATTAGGTCCCTCTCACACAACGTCCCATATAGCCTCAATTAGGCCCCTCTCACACAACGTCCCATATAGCCTCAATTAGGTCCCTCTCACATAACGTCCCATGTAGCCTCAATGAAGTCGCATCCCACCCAACGTCCCATGTAGCCTCAATAAGGTCCCTCTCACACAACGTCCCATATAGCCTCAATTAGGTCCCTCTCACACATTGTCCCATATAGCCTCAATTAGGTCCCTCTAACACAACGTCCCATATAGCCTCAATTAGTTCCCTCTCACATAACGTCCCATATAGCCTCAATTTGGTCCCTCTCACACAACGTCCCATGTAGCCTCAATGAAGTCGCATCCCACCCAACGTCCCATGTAGCCTCAATTAGGTCCCTCTCACACAACGTCCCATATAGCCTCAATTAGGTCCCTCTCACACAACGTCCCATATAGCCTCAATTTGGTCCCTCTCACACAACGTCCCATATAGCCTCAATGAAGTCGCATCCCACCCAACGTCCCATATAGCCTCAATTAGGTCCCTCTCACACAACGTCCTATATAGCCTCAATTAGGTCTCTCTCACACAGCGTCCCATATAGCCTCAATTAGGTCCCTCTCACATAACGTCCTATATAGCCTCAATTAGGTCCCTCTCACACAACGTCCCATAAAGCCTCAATTAGGTCCCTCTCACACAACGTCCCATGTAGCCTCAATTAGGTCCCTCTCACACATTGTCCCATGTAGCCTCAATTAGGTCCCTCTCACACAGCGTCCCATGTAGCCTCAATTAGGTCCCTCTCACACAGCGTCCCATATAGCCTCAATTAGGTCCCTCTCACACAGCGTCCCATATAGCCTCAATTAGGTCCCTCTCACACAGCGTCCCATATAGCCTCAACTAGGTCCCTCTCACACAACGTCCAATGTAGCCTCAATAAGGTCCCCCTCACACAGCGTCCCATATAGCCTCAATTAGGTCCCTCTCACACAACGTCCCATATAGCCTCAATTAGGTCCCTCTCACACAATGTCCCATATAGCCTCAATTAAGTCCCTCCCACACAACGTCCCATATAGCCTCAATTAGGTCCCTCTTACACAGCGTCCCATATAGCCTCAATTAGGTCCCTCTCACACAACGTCCCATATTGCCTCAATTAGGTCCCCCTCACACAGCGTCCCATATAGCCTCAATTAGGTCCCTCTCACACAACGTCCAATGTAGCCTCAATTAGGTCCCTCTCACACAATGTCCCATATAGCCTCAATTAGGTCCCTCTCACACAATGTCCCATATAGCCTCAATCAGGTCTCTCTCACACAACGTCCCATATAGCCTCAATTAAGTCCCTCTCACACAACGTCCTATATAGCCTCAATTAAGTCCCTCTCACACAACGTCCTATATAGCCTCAATTAGGTCCCTCTCACACAACGTCCTATATAGCCTCAATTAGGTCTCTCTCACACAGCGTCCCATATAGCCTCAATTAGGTCCCTCTCACACAACGTCCCATATAGCCTCAATTAAGTCCCTCTCACACAACGTCCCATATAGCCTCAACTAGGTCCCTCTCACACAACGTCCCATATAGCCTCAATTAGTTCCCTCTCACACAACGTCCCATGTAGCCTCAATGAAGTCGCATCCCACCCAACGTCCAATGTAGCCTCAATTAGGTCCCTCTCACACAACGTCCCATGTAGCCTCAATGAAGTCGCATCCCACCCAACGTCCCATATAGCCTCAATTAGGTCCCTCTTACACAACGTCCCATGTAGCCTCAATTAAGTCCCTCTCACACAACGTCCCATGTAGCCTCAATGAAGTCGCATCCCACCCAACGTCCCTTGTAGCCTCAATTAGGTCCCTCTCACACAGCGTCCCATATAGCCTCAATTAGGTCCCTCTCACACAACGTCCCATATAGCCTCAATTAGGTCCCTCTCACACAATGTCCCATATAGCCTCAATTAAGTCCCTCTCACACAACGTCCCATATAGCCTCAATTAGGTCCCTCTCACACAACGTCCCATATAGCCTCAATTAGGTCCCCCTCACACAGCGTCCCATATAGCCTCAATTAGGTCCCTCTCACACAACGTCCAATGTAGCCTCAATTAGGTCCCTCTCACACAACGTCCCATATAGCCTCAATTAGGTCCCTCTCACACAATGTCCCATATAGCCTCAATCAGGTCTCTCTCACACAACGTCCCATATAGCCTCAATTAAGTCCCTCTCACACAACGTCCTATATAGCCTCAATTAAGTCCCTCTCACACAACGTCCCATATAGCCTCAATTAGGTCCCTCTCACACAACGTCCCATATAGCCTCAATCAGGTCTCTCTCACACAACGTCCCATATAGCCTCAATTAAGTCCCTCTCACACAACGTCCCATATAGCCTCAATTAAGTCCCTCTCACACAACGTCCCATGTAGCCTCAATTAGGTCCCTCTCACACAACGTCCCATATAGCCTCAATTAGGTCCCTCTCACACAGCGTCCCATATAGCCTCAATTAGGTCCCTCTCACACAACGTCCCATATAGCCTCAATTAGGCCCCTCTCACACAACGTCCCATATAGCCTCAATTAGGTCCCTCTCACATAACGTCCCATGTAGCCTCAATGAAGTCGCATCCCACCCAACGTCCCATGTAGCCTCAATAAGGTCCCTCTCACACAACGTCCCATATAGCCTCAATTAGGTCCCTCTCACACATTGTCCCATATAGCCTCAATTAGGTCCCTCTAACACAACGTCCCATATAGCCTCAATTAGTTCCCTCTCACACATTGTCCCATATAGCCTCAATTAGGTCCCTCTAACACCACGTCCCATCTAGCCTCAATTAGTTCCCTCTCACATAACGTCCCATATAGCCTCAATTTGGTCCCTCTCACACAACGTCCCATGTAGCCTCAATGAAGTCGCATCCCACCCAACGTCCCATGTAGCCTCAATTTGGTCCCTCTCACACAACGTCCCATATAGCCTCAATGAAGTCGCATCCCACCCAACGTCCCATGTAGCCTCAATTAGGTCCCTCTCACACAACGTCCTATATAGCCTCAATTAGGTCTCTCTCACACAGCGTCCCATATAGCCTCAATTAGGTCCCTCTCACATAACGTCCTATATAGCCTCAATTAGGTCCCTCTCACACAACGTCCCATAAAGCCTCAATTAGGTCCCTCTCACACAACGTCCCATGTAGCCTCAATTAGGTCCCTCTCACACATTGTCCCATGTAGCCTCAATTAGGTCCCTCTCACACAGCGTCCCATGTAGCCTCAATTAGGTCCCTCTCACACATTGTCCCATATAGCCTCAATTAGGTCCCTCTCACACAGCGTCCCATATAGCCTCAATTAGGTCCCTCTCACACAGCGTCCCATATAGCCTCAACTAGGTCCCTCTCACACAACGTCCAATGTAGCCTCAATAAGGTCCCCCTCACACAGCGTCCCATATAGCCTCAATTAGGTCCCTCTCACACAACGTCCCATATAGCCTCAATTAGGTCCCTCTCACACAATGTCCCATATAGCCTCAATTAAGTCCCTCTCACACAACGTCCCATATAGCCTCAATTAGGTCCCTCTCACACAGCGTCCCATATAGCCTCAATTAGGTCCCTCTCACACAACGTCCCATATTGCCTCAATTAGGTCCCCCTCACACAGCGTCCCATATAGCCTCAATTAGGTCCCTCTCACACAACGTCCAATGTAGCCTCAATTAGGTCCCTCTCACACAATGTCCCATATAGCCTCAATTAGGTCCCTCTCACACAATGTCCCATATAGCCTCAATCAGGTCTCTCTCACACAACGTCCCATATAGCCTCAATTAAGTCCCTCTCACACAACGTCCTATATAGCCTCAATTAAGTCCCTCTCACACAACGTCCTATATAGCCTCAATTAGGTCCCTCTCACACAACGTCCCATATAGCCTCAATCAGGTCTCTCTCACACAACGTCCCATATAGCCTCAATTAAGTCCCTCTCACACAACGTCCCATATAGCCTCAATTAGGTCCCTCTCACACAACGTCCCATATAGCCTCAATTAGGTCCCTCTCACACAACGTCCCATGTAGCCTCAATTAAGTCCCTCTCACACAACGTCCCATATAGCCTCAATTAGGTCCCTCTCACACAACGTCCCATATAGCCTCAATTAGGTCCCTCTCACACAACGTCCCATATAGCCTCAATTAGGTCCCTCTCACACAGCGTCCCATATAGCCTCAATTAAGTCCCTCTCACACAGCGTCCCATATAGCCTCAATTAAGTCCCTCTCACACAACGTCCCATATAGCCTCAATTAGGTCCCTCTCACACAACGTCCCATATAGCCTCAATTAGGTCCCTCTCACACAGCGTCCCATATAGCCTCAATTAGGTCCCTCTCACACAACGTCCCATATAGCCTCAATAAGGTCCCTCTCACACAGCGTCCCATATAGCCTCAATTTGGTCCCTCTCACACAGCGTCCCATATAGCCTCACGTAAGTCCCTCTCACACAGCGTCCCATATAGCCTGAATTAGGTCTCTCTCACACAGCGTCCCATATAGCCTCAATAAAGTCCCGTCTCACCCAACGTCACCGACGTGGCGTCTCATCCAGCGTTCCAGACGTCGCGTATCACCAGCTGTCACTGACATAACCGATTCATGCAGCAGCACTGAAGTCTCGTCTCCTCCAACGTCACCGACAGCTCGCCTGGGCCAGCGCACCCGACATGATCCATTACAGTGGTCTTCAACATACAGACGCTAAGGGAACATTGATTAAATATCAACATCAATACCCCGTTCCTCAAAGCGATCTTAGCACTACGATGATCGTAACCCTATGTTAAAGTATTGAACTTACGATCACCTTAGTGCTAAGATCGCTTTGAGGAGCGGGGCCCTGGACGTCCACTATATCCGGAATTGGGGCGCGGTGACTCGCTGTCCCGAAACGTGTTGTACCTGATCATATTTTTCCATGTAATAGGACACATTCCAAAATGTGAAGCACCCAGAACAATCCTCACAGTCGTATGAATTGTGAACAAGTTCCTAGCACTAAACAACATTCGCTGACTTCGATACTGGACTCGTTCAAGGAAAGAAAGTCCAGCTAATGTCTTGGGCGTTCGTCAGGCGATGTGAGACACAGGAAATCTATAGAAGCATAAGGCTGTTTCTTGTATAACAAGATATGCTGTGATGATCCGCCACTGAGACCTGTATGAGTAAAGAGAAGATTTGCGATGTCTCACAAAATACACGCATTTACATTCGTTGGTATTTGTATCATTATCTGTTAATCGTGAAATCTTAGGACTTTTCTTTCTTTCGTTTCTTTTGGAGCTTGGTATTTTTCATTTGAGGGAATGGACTATACTTTATATCACTTTCCCATCACATAGATACGTTATTACAATATGTGTCAAATCCTTCTCTTTTAGCGGATGCCACGTAAGAAGGAAAAGACGCGAGCAGAAGTGTTCCAGGAGATAACCGCAAATATTGTCAGGTTGGTTTAAATTACTTTTAAATACATCTTCGGTGGCTTGCTAGGAGGTATTATAACACATATCAGTTATCTTAATGCGCCCTCTATACCGAGTTAGCTGTCCTTTTCAATTTAGATGAACAATAATCTCGCATTACAATAAAAACCCTGATATGAATGAATGAATGAATGAATGAATGAATGAATGAATGAATGAATGAATGAATGAATGAATGATACCATCAGAGAACTGGTGTCTATATAAAAGAAAGAAAATCATGTTACAAATAAACAAATAAATGAATAAATAAATATATGAATGAATGAATAAAAAAATTATAACATATATGAATGAATGAATAGTAACATCAGAGAACTGGTGTCTATAGGGGAGAAAGAAAATGCTGTTATAGATAAACAAATCAATGAATAAATAAATAAATAAATAAATATATGAATGAATGAACAAATGAATGAATGAATAAATGAACAAATAAATAATAAATAAAAAAATTAATAGTAACATCAGAGAACTAATGTCTATAAGCGACAGTGGTAACCTTATGGGGAATCGATGTAACTTAGTGAATCTGTATGAGTAAAAAGCTTGCTCAAGTAGTCAGTGGATGGCATGCATTTGCCCGGGGAACCTAATACACCTCAGATCAATACTCAAATATTTCAAAGATTGCAACAAAAACGTAAACACAGGTGGCCTTAACGGACCGTTCGGGAAGAATCCCGACAATTTCCGTCCTTCTGCGTCTAGCTTCGTTCGAGATTCCCGCCACTTTGGCTGATGGGGGTGCAGCGAGCTGTTATCACGATACACTCTGGAGACAGTCTTTTAAATACGGCACTTTCTCTTCCTCCCCTTTCCATTAGCCACGGGATACAGTTTCAGAAATAACTCCCTCTGATTGAAATTTGTCGCCTATTCCAAGGACTGATGATTTACGTACGCCATGTCCTGCCCGTGCAAGCCCTGTGCTATTCTTCCCGCCGACTGTCATTACGTATACAAGTTCACCGAGGTTGGTCGTCATCGTCCACCCAATTTCGTAAAACCCGATCCGCAGATTGTAGATTCCGTGGCAACTAGGTGTAATAAGCCCCTTTCACAATCACCAACATCATAGACCGGCATTCCTCATCTTCTACCGTCGCCGACGTAGCGCGACTTGTGACGCTGACGCGTCAGAGTTTGCAGCCGAACACCAAGGTTCAAAGGTCAGATGACAAATTGCCATCTTGACAGGCGCTCTGTGAAGTATTGATATCTTGTTCTGTGCGACCAGAGAGGCAAGTTTCAATCCAACTATGATATCTCCCGATCAGGAGGTTTAGTCCAGTTTGCAATAACGCTGTCATACTGGCGACGCCGGGCTCATAGGGGGTCGGGGGGGAGGAGGTCGTTTGCATTAAATTAATCATGAGCGGACAGTGCCTTCCAGGGCAATGATGGTCAATTCAGGGATGGTGGGATCTGGCCTGTCGTCTGTACAAGGCAATGTGATGGGATCTAATATACCATCATATAAAATTGTGTATTGCTTCCTCGTCTAATCCGCATTGACCATATCTTAATGAAATAAACTCGAGTCTACTCAATAAAAGTCGCATTTCTGTGAGACGAATACTGGAGTTCATCTGCAGGGTAAAGTTATTGTGCAGAAACTACTGTGTGTATATAAGAAGAAGCATATTTACCACTCGATGGTAAAAGAAGATGAGATTCGGTCTCTTATTTTATTTTTCTAATCCGCGGAGGTCTTTGGGTGTCATCTTACCAAAGAGTTATATGGTGCTGTCTTCCTTAAATGCATATAACACTGCGTTTCACGATTAATCAATATCCTTTCATCTTGTGAAGTCGCCTTATATTAAGATTCCATTCCAAATCGTTATTTCAATTCACAAATAAAAGATTATTATTATCGATTGAAAACCATATCGCTCTTTCTGCCTCCATTTAGACACTTGTTCTATACTATTCACATTCGTCTATCAACGTGAAATTACCTGACACGATTAAAGGCCCATGGAGACTTTAACTTATGACCAGTTATGTAGACCTGCTACCTAATATTGCCGAATTATTACATTATAAACGTCAATGTGTATCGTTGTCACAATGGGATAAGATGAAATCGCTTTCCTAATGGCTCAACATGCCAATGCGTTTGCCGGCCGATGTGTTTTACTGCATGTGTCGATGCAAGTCTCTCCAAAGACCATGACACGAACAACCTATTTGAATTGATATCTAAAATTCCAAAGGCGCGTCTCAGAAAACGGCATCTTCCAGGGGCAAGGGTAGTAACTGACTATAAAAGTCCAGCTTCCACCCTTGCCGAACTGGACTGGATTTTCCAGGCTCGATCGTAGCGCCACCAGTGGATATTACGAGTTATGTCCCTTCTATGTCCCCCCGACTGACCAATCAGATTCCACCTCTTGTACCACTTGCAATTGCTTCAAACAAAAATGGCGGCACCCCGTCAAGACAATCTGATCGATAATCAAGATCTTTATTGTAATAAAACGGGCCTTATCTCGATAAGTGCATGAAATCACTTGAGCACCATGAACATGAATAGATTTGAAATATATATGTTGACGCTAAATTGATGGTACACATGCTTTGTAAATCCTGCAGTCGACCGAAATCTGCACGTTGAAATGCATGGTGTTTGCGAACCGGATGTCTAGTTCGTCACGCGTTTTGATTGGACTATGCATAGACTCGTTAGTTCAGCCAAAATGTAACTCCGGAATTCCAGCCTAATTCGGCAAGGGTGGAAACTGGACTTTTATAGTCAGTTAACGCCCTTGTCTCGGAAAGATAAGTAAAACGAAATAATTTTGTTCTATTTTTTAAATATATTTAACTGGTATAAGGTTGTGAAAACATTTTGATATAAATAAGAAATAACAAGGTATTTCATGGAACAATATCCCGAATGGCTTATCTTTTCAACGAAATTCTATATGTCGTTATCCTAATCGCCCCATAATTGTACAAATCTATCTACAGTAAAATACTTTTATAACGAACACGCTAATAACCAACTGACGGTTATAACGAACTGTTTTTGGTCCCGGCCATTTGCTGTTTATTTGCTGGATACATGCTTATAAGGAAATACGGTTGTAACGAACTAAAATTATAACCGTAATAACCGTAGGATCGATAATTGCGAGAAGAATTGTATGGACATGTACCTAAAGTGCTGAAGATAAACAGTAATACAGAGAAAAGGGTATAGATATAGAGGCAACGTTATCAAAGGTCAATTTCTGTCAGTGTGTAATATCATTGCAATAATGTTTTTCAGTTACCACCGAGAAATGAAAAACGTCTCTGACGCCATCGAGGACATTGGGGGACAGGAACCTGACATCACTGCAGACGCCACCGTAGACGTCAGCAGAAAGGGCTCATCCCCCGACGACACCACCAATAATAACGCCATGGTGAATCAATCGTACGACCACGACCGACGAGGTAGCGCGGCGACGTTGCAGGTTGACGTCGAGGTAGAGGGGGATAGGGATGGAGATGCTGAGAGGTTGGAGGACGATGGGGGAGACCGTTACCCCACCCTTGTCCCTGTCTATCCCAGCTTACCAGAAGATTTGTCTGAGGCCACGCTGTCCCAGGATTCCGCCGTCAACTCCGGGAGCGAGAGTTCCCCCGAGAACAGGAAGGGCGAAATCTGGGTGATATCCGATGGGTGTATCAATGACCCAGACTTGGTTGCACCCACTAGGAAATTTTCCGACATTGGTCCACTGAGACCCGACAACAGCGAGCTCCATCGCGGAATACGGAGAAGCATTAGCCACGAGTACCAAACAGGGGACTACTTTCAACGCAATCTGAAACTTAAGGACAACAGAGTCAAGTCAACGTTGCGACGTCATGCTATGTCAGGATACCAGGCGCATGTTCCCGTTGATTATCTTGATGAATGTACGATCGAGTCGCTGTCAAAGGAGGATCTGTTGTTGTTGTGGAAGAAGTCGGAGCTGGAGTTGCAGCGCCGATTGCGTGAGATTCAGACGAGGAATAAAACCATGTCCTTGGCTATTGACTATCTGATGAAGAGCCAGCAGGAAGAATTGGGAGAAGAAGTCTGAACATTTGTGATACAAAGTCTGGTCTTTTCTTACAGTACCGTTGCGTCTGCCTGAACGACGCTGTCAGGGTTGTCCCGATACCTGATTGGTCACTGATTGGTCACTCCAGGTCCTTACAAACACAGATCAGTCAAATCGACATCGACGCACAACACGCCCTCATTACACGTCCAGATCTTGTTCCTGCGTGAATATCATGTGCTTGTCTGTGTGTCTGTCCGTCCCCACCTAGGGACACTGTAATGTGACACAGTTCACAAGTGTCTGTTGGACAAACTATGGCGTGTGTCTGAAGAGGCATCACAGTAAGTATGGCACCTGCACTCCGTGAATCATAAAAGATTGGGTCATGAAATAATATTTGAGAGCGAAGTTTCCTCGCATAAGGAAGCAATGCGTGCTGGTTTGAAGCTGTTCTCGACCTGCGTCTTACGAGCATCACTCAACACAAGAACAGTAAACAGACATCAACCGATCATTTATTAGTCAGTCGGACTTTGTGGTCATTGTTCTGTAATACTATTTCTTTACTGTAGCATTCAAAATTAATAAATGGCAGATTTACAACAAATGAGTAATTACATAAGAATGAAAAAAACAACTTCATTTGTCTTTTATTGAGACTTTGCAAACAGAGAAATTGTTCCTGATAACCACAACTTGGGTTTCAGAAGTATTGATTTATGGCACTTTGACCTACAAATGTAACTGTAATTGAAGCCGTAACATCAACTGTCGGGCAAAAGAAAGTATATTCACTTGAAATCTAGATTTGACCAAAAAAAATGACAACTGTTATCAAACTGTTACTGGGCTGAAAACTGTCGCCGAAACACTGCAAATTTAAGGTCCAAAATGAACTGTGATACCCGCATCAAATACATCACCATCGACAACCATTTATTCTTTGTGTCATTTGTAGCCATTACAAACATGGGTTTATACTTTTTCTTTTGCCTGGCAGTTCAGTGTTGAACACGTAGATAATAAACATACTGATACAACACTACCTGAGCATAGGTGTACATGGTAGATAATTAGGACTCCACAGAGTATGCAGTCGGAATGTTTACTGCCAGTATGTTTGTTCTATCTCTGAAGGGAATTTGGGAATTGCAGCGGAGAGCAAATAGTCTTTGATGTACATATTAGAAGGCATAGAAACTGGCATGCAATAAATGTTTCAATCCGTCAATAATTGGAATAATGATGTAAACGAGATACTGTGTGATGTCTCGAATAATTTATGCATATACAACGAAGGTGATGACGATTTATGAGTAGTATATGCCCCCGTACCATAACATCCCTCCATGACCCTTGGTTGATAGCAATATGCAGTCAGTCATCGTTAGTCGGCCAGGAACAACAATATGTTAAGTAGTTTTACGTCGTGTTGTGTCTTGGGTAACTTTGCTTTCTAAATGTACTCATTGATTTAATTTCCATTTCTGAAATTGTTGTTTAATATATTCTGTAGCCGAGTTTCTCCGGTTTGAAGGGAATACACTTGCACTTTTGTGTATCTCAATGTCATATCTACTTAAACAACTTTCGGAGTGTTTACAAATTCTGTTGGAAGTGCATCTGGCATTTTTCTGTATAGTGGCGTATTTGATTAAAGGAATTCTAACGTCAAGAAAAAGGGTGAGATATTCATCTCTCAATACGAAACGTTAGAGGTGGTCTTAAACATTAATAATAAACCGCTGTGCTCACTTGAGTAAACGAACATCAACATGTCATTTCCAAACAGATTAATACGAAAGCTCGAGCAATAAAGATGAAACTTTCGTTTCCATGCCCTTTCACAAGATGAAAGACGCAGGCTTCGTTGGGTATCGTATTTGCGTGTGCGTTCAATCTTATAAGTTTTCATATGGAATAAAAAACACTGTTCCATTATGATTCCATTTGAAATATTAAGTAAAAGAATGTGATCTCCACCACTTTGAGAAAAATAATTCGTGTCGAAAAATCTTTGGATTTTTGCCTATATTTAGATTGACGGTTTACTCATACTAAAATAGTTAATCCGGGATATGGTGTATTTGACTGTCACTATGAGTTCATTGGAGGTTGAACACTTACAGTATGACGGTCACACTTTATAAATATTAGAGCTTTCGATATAAAAACTTATTTCTTATAATGTTAATATTACCCTTGGGTGCCCTTAAGCTTTATCTGATTCAGTATAAATGTTCTCTTTGTACACTGGCAGCCTTACGAGCATTATCAATATCACTTAGAAAGGTATTATGTATATTCTTTTAAAAAGATAAATAAGCCGTTATGCATACGACATTAACCCACGTTTCATAATTTTGCATAACGAAAAGGTTTAAGCGATAACTTATTCCATGGCTATTTCATTTCACATTACAAGAGTACGCTCCGACGCGTTGTAATACATTGACTACAATATTCTCCTTCAAAATGGCCGACGGAATCAGCGGGACTAGAGAGGTTTCCAAAATGTTGTCAGAGAACCTGCGGCGACTCGTCGTTGGCCATCTTTTCTGAATAGAGTAATGATTTATAGGTCGGCTAAATGCTGAAATGGTTTCATAGATCACTGCTGAATGCTGTTTATGTGTCTAAGTATTGAGTCAACAGTTTGTGGGGAGCATTCACTCGTCGTCTTCTCTGGCATGTATAGCCCAAAGTGTTCTAACTGTATATAAATACGCTTATTTTATTAGTAAAGTGTTCCTGTTACTGAGCATAAACAATTATTCTGTCCCAGTGAAAAAAACCGGATAATTCTGAAATAATCCGGTAGTGTTACGTCACTTCCTGAATAAGAAAAATTACGAACGCTAGTGTCCTGGGGCCCGTTCTACACGTGATCGTAGCGCGAGGACTGATGTAAATCTATATAAAAGTAGGGAGCCTTGTTCATTACCAAGTTAACATCATAAATATTGCTGCAAGATAATGCTGCATTATCAGATTAATACCATGTGAACATAGACATATTTTTCACACGCTTTTATGTCATACGAATGTAAACGAAGACACCTTTGCCGCCTGTAAAATAGTCCCTGTGCTTCTTGTGTAAAGGGGCGTGTCTGCTGTGTCATATCCGTAGAAATATTTACTGACATTGCTGTTCACCCAGATTGGTCGTGACGTTAGGATATGATAATATTCAACGGAACAATCTTCTCTCCATGTATGCTTATATTTACAAATCGTTTAAAGATTTTGCACTATTTCAAAGTTCGTATTAAACAAATCATTTCGTGTATATGTTTGAATGTATGTGCAATCCAAAGAGTTAGGGTAAGTTAAGATATGCATATCGTGGAATATCATCAGGGCCCACTTGCACAAAGCGATCTTAGCGCTAAGATGATCTTAACTCCCATACTTTAACATAGGCTTACAATAGTCGTAGCGCTAAAATCGCTTTGTGCAAGTGGGCCCTGGAGTGTTCACACCTCGTGTATTCAGAGAGATCTACAGATAGTAGAGGGGTTGGTTTCTAAGGCAGCTTGATATGACGTATCAGTGTTACGTATAACTATCATTCATTATCAAGATATTTGTATGAGCATACTGTTATATTTTCAAGGATATGTAATCGTGTAATATTATCTATTACAATTTGAACAGAGCGCCGCTATGTACAGAGCATCGTAGCACATTATAAAATATGACGACCTTCACCCTTTGAAATACGATGAATCGTCTTGAATTTGTTACATCATTTTTTGATGATTTTATATACCTCTGAAATGGTTTGTTTGTTGCATTTTTTGTGACAATTACATTTTTTCAATGGTTACCCTTTTGTTTGAAGAACAATGTTTGTGTGATTTGAATAGATCGATTGGAATTATACCTTTCTGTACACACGTTTGTAAATAGTCATTATTTAAATATGAATCATAAGCTACATGGAACATGCTGTACGGTCTTACATATCAAACATGATATGTTGTTGTTGTCGTCGTTAGAGAAGTTTAACTTTTACAGCTGTTATATTTTAACCCTATCCAGTTCATAACGTTTGTTTTGGAATCCTAGATTCGCCCTTATATAAGGAGTTATGGTTTATCAGCACCATGATTCGATTAAGGCGTTACTCACACTTTAAACTAACACGCCGTGTAATTACTGAAATACTGTTTAAAGCGGCGTTAAACCCTACTCACTCACTCCTAAAAAGTAACCATAATCACGTATTGTTTGCAGTTTGGACTTGGCTGAACGCCCCAATAACGATGAAACAATCAAATTCAATTAAAGGGATGCATGCATAAGTTAAACACTTAACAAGGTGAACTTCAGTAGCTCACAACACCCCCCCCACACCCACCCCCCCCCCCCCCCCCCCCCCCCCCACACCCACCCCTCCACTATTTCACTCATAAATCATCAGGTTTAGATGTTTTTAATTATCCGTGATAGATTTGCTGACATTTTTCAAAATCTATTCATTTTTAGCCTAGCCTCTGCTTCCTTGTCCCTGAACTGTTGTCCAACGCGTGGACATGCATTTCCTCATGTTTAAACCCTTGATCGAGTCTTGACCTGGCACATCGAGATTGTCGGCGTGAGCACTGACCGATACAAACGTGGTTGCTATGTACTATCTTGAGGTGGGCCCATGTTTTAAAAGGATGACATGGCTGGCCCTGGCAACCAAAATTCGTTGTGCACATTTGAATCCTACACCCGTGCAAGGACCCTGTGGTTCGAATCACTACAGATCATCAGTACCATACGTGTGCTCTAGGGTTCACCGAAGTTGTAAACGTCTACGAAAGCGTTACTTTCGGCTTTTTTCATTATATTGAAATACTGTTCAAAGCGGCTTTAAACCTAACTCACCCAATTGTCAAATGATCTCGGTTAAAAGATCCGATTGTTAGAACCGTATGGAGTTTTGTTTGTGTATATATATGTTTATTATGATGGAAAGTGTCCAGTGTTCTAAGTAATAGATAACATCTACAAATATTTTGACTGTGATTTTTTCCCGGAGCCCGGGCTTGTTTGTACATATACTCGAATGTAGAAGATCGCATGTATTTCGCAATAAAGACCTTCTTACAAGACAGACTCCCTTTTTATTAAGCGTGACGTCAGAGAAGAAAAGCAACAGGGTCACGTTTACGTCATCTGACGTACATGAGGTAACAACTATCACATTATCTATATAAACTGTAAGGACTTAACTACGTGCAAACAAATTTAAATCTTATTCCCGGATTCTTTCCCTCTCCTTGTCAATATCCTACAAACCCTTCATATTACATGGGTCGGGTAGCCTAGTGGTTAAAGTGTTCGCCGAAGACCCGAGTTCTATTCCCGACATGGGTATAATGTGTGAAGCCCATTTCCGGTGTCCCCCGCCGTGAAATTGCTGGAATATTGCTAAAAGCGGCGTTAAACCATACTCACTGGGCTAATATATTTTTTCAGGTTGATCTTATACAAAATTAGATAGTAAGCAATGTATTCAGATCACTTTCAAATGTTGGAAAAAGAAAAGATTCCAGATGACTGGCATACCTATTTTCTTTTGATTGTTGGCAGTGAGTATCTGCAGTTGCTTTCTTCTGACATATTAATTTTTTGTTGTTAAACGCCGCACCAATATTCCAGTCTTATGATGGTGGGCTGTAATTAATCAACTAATGCAAACCAGTGATCGATATTATGAGCCACGATAAAGGCCTCCAGGGTACGATGGCGTGCAAACTACCATCTTACTGAACCTGACCACCGGATCAATTTTGAAGCCTCATACGACAAGTTGTTGTTGGGTGGGTATTCTTGCCCGGAACGCTCACGGGGCATGCATAATTTTATTCATCTAGATTTGCCTATTTCTGGTGTCGCCCTTCCGTGATGTTGCTTGAATATTGCAAACAGCGGCGTAAATCCATACTCACTCACTCACTCATCTAGATTTACAAGTTCCGCTATACCTACTGAGTTCATCTGCGATGGAACATTAAGATTGTATCTACACAAAACTGACATCTTTTAAAAAAGGTTTTGATTCTTTTTAATACACCGGTAATAATAATTATACGTACCATGTAACTGTAAGGATCCGGGTTAGACTAGGTCTTCAGCAAACCATGCTTGTCTTAAGCGGCGACTAACGTGATCGGGTGCTCTGGCCCTCTGGCGTGGTTGATGCATGTCATCGTATCCCAATTGCGTAGATCGATGCTCATGATGTCAATCATTGGATTGTCTGGTCCAGACTCGATTATTTACATATAATTGGAATATTGCTGAGTACGGCGTTAAACCACAATCAAACACACGTACAATGTCTTCCATTGCTCCGACCATATCGTTCTAAAAAACTCATAAAGAATTAGATATATGCAGTATATTACTTCTACAAGCAGAAGGAAATGCTAAAAGTAAGTTGGCAATACAACAATGACCACGTTGTAGTAGGCTAGATTGGTCTGTCAAAAGTCGGAAAGTCTTTTGTCAAGAATCTTATTCGAAAAAAGATGCCAATACATGATGCGCCCTTTTTATTCGGGCCTGGTAGGAAAAGGATAACAAAATAATTATTATTGTGTACTTGCCAATGTCCACTACCACGAAGTAATGATAGTTCAATGATAAGACATGATTGTGACAGATATACTACACCTGCCAAACTTGCTGTGTCACGATACATTTATTTGACTGGAGGTGGGGTGAGGTGAAATGGGGTTTAACGTCGCGTCCAAGATTATTGCACTTATATAGCGACGTGCATGTACGTGTGTATGTTTGTGTGGCTGCTTGTACTAGCCCGGACTGATGCCGATTTATAGTGCTAGCTCACTGAGATACCATGCTGCAGTTTAACATGAATACCCCACTCAGACACAGTATACTGACTCCGAGCCGACAAGTCCTTGTTTTAGCCCCTTAATGCCGAGCGCCAGACAGGGTAACAACAAGTACCATCTTTTAACGTCTTTTGGTATGACGCGGTTGGGGATCGAACCCCAGACCTTCCGCTCTCCGGGCAGACGCTCTACCTCTAGACCACGGAGGCGGTCCTTATTTGACTGGAAGCAGATGCCTCAGAAAATCATTTCAATCGGCTGCAGCTACCAACAATAACACGATGCTGCGTTCTTTCTGGGGAGATGGTCTACAACATACTACATTTGGATTTCACAGGGGGGTGGGGGTGTGGTCCGGAAATCTTGGAAACCCCAACCCTAACCTCAACCCCAACCCCCTCTGGATCCGCTTATGACGGGTACATTTACAGGTATGATGAGTGACATAATCTGACTTTGCAGGAAATTGAAGGGGTTTTGAATGAAATATGGCACCTGTGTTTTCGGGAAAAAGGTTGGTTGTTGGTTGGTTTGTTGTTTAACGCCGCACTCAGCAATATTCCAGCTATATGACGGCGGTCTGTAAATAATCGAGTCTGGACCAGACAGTCCTTTAATATCACGAGCATCGATCCACGCACTTTGGATCGATGACTGCATCAGCCAAGTCAGCGAGCCTGACCACCCGATCCCGTTAGTCGCCTCTTACGACAAGCATAGGACTATTTAAGGTTATCAGAGATAACAGAATATGTCTCGGAGTGTAAACACGCATAGATATGCACACAGAGGTTAGATAGCATAATTGAACAACCAAGGTTACAGGAGGAAAATAGTCATTTAAGAGAGTTTTGTCTTTTCGGTAGCTAACGGTCATGCGTGAATCAGTTGAATAATGTGTTCTTTCGAAGGACGATATCGTCCTGATTAACTGGGTTTCACTGCAGGTAAACCTCCACACCCTTACGTTCATTTACAATGGAAAGTATGAGCATTGTATACAAATGTCAACGACAGAGTATAACCAGTCTCCTGCATCCGACGAAACAGAACCGCCTCCGTGGTCTAATGGTAGAGCGTCCGCCGGGAGAGCGGAAGGTCTCGGGTTCGATCCCCGGCCGCGTCATACCAAAAAAAAGACGTTGAAAGATGGTACTTGTTGTTACCCTGTTTAGCGCTCGGCATTAGGTGCTAAAACAAGCACTTGTCGGCTCGGAGTCAGTATACTGTGTCTGAGTGGGTTATTCATGTTAAACTGCGGCATGGTGTCTCAGTGTGCTAGCACTATAAATCGGCACCAGTCAAGCTAGTACAAGCAGCCCCAACCACACACACGCACACACACACACACGCGTGCATGCACGTCGCTACATAAGTGCAATAATCATGGACGCGACGTTAAACCCAATTTCACCTCACCCCACCGACGAAACAGATTCCATTGCGCGTAAAAGGCAAATTAGCGGTGAATATTATATGAATGGATCACTGAAAATCAGTGATGACATCAGGTGTAAGCTGAGGATACGCATGTCCTGCCCTACCGATATCCCCCGCCACTCACACAATTTGCTTAAAGAATTAAGACTTAGTTTAAGTAGTGTGCCAAATATCCTCCTCCTATAAGTGTAAGTAAGTAAGTGTGAGCCAAATATCCTCGATTTGCTATCTTTCAAATCAAACTCAAACATTTAAGGCAACAATAACAACAAAACCGTACCGTGCAGGATCCGCGTAAAGTACATGTATACTCAAGCAGTACTATACAAACAGGTTGACAATTGAATCAATGCGTGTTACACAATATCTTTCTCGTCTCGTTCTCTCCGCGGTACCGGCAGCATTGTGTTGATGGCTCGGTGTAGCAGTAGGGAGGTAGAGTGACAGATACTCCCCGTGGAGACAACTTGTGGTTATTGGCAGATAAACAGGCATGAATAAAACATACAGCACATCATTCTCTGAGCCAAGCGTTTTAATCAAACTGGGCAGTTGTAGTCAACAGCAGTGAAGCTTGATCACGACAATCGCCCACCAGAGGGCGCCAGTGTCGGCACAAATGTACGACGGGGACGATGACGCATAAGCAGTGAGGTGATGGAGAGAGAGTTGGGTTTAATGCCGATTCGAACAGCATATTCTAGTTGTATCACGGCGAGTCAAGATGTTTGTGGTAAATCTTAAAGCGGTGCGTAGACTTTTAAAACTCTGGGGAAACCTGCAAGCAGGGTATGGTGCTATGACAAGGGGGATTGGAACCCTCGATCAGCAGATCCTGGTCCCATGGGACCGACCATTCGATATTGGGGTGGGGCTGAGATTTTGTATCGAGATGAGATATCTTTTTCAGATACAGCTACAACTACCAAACCAGATATTTTTGTATTGCAAAATATTAACCTGATTTTTTATTTAAGAAAATGTAATTATTGTGGCAGGCAATTTCCTTTTGCAACAGTCTGAAGCATAATTAGTTTTTTCAAGAATTTTCG